TGTTTTATAAGCAGGAATGGCTTGGGCCGCATGTATCTGTTTCATGGTGTCCTATATGTCAGTTTCTGTTTCCATTTTGTCCTGTGTAGCAAAAAAGGTTTTATTGCTTATTGCTTCTTGGAAAGCATCACTGTCTTGGCTACTTATAAAGTTTTTCCCCTTTCCACAAAGGAATTGTTTGCTTTCTTTAGAATCGACCCACCTTTGAATTCTACTTTCTTAACTGTTCATTAATCATGTTAGAGTTCTCATCTGCTTTAAATTATTCCTTTCATCTAGCCCTCCCTGATAGATTCAACCCTTGATGTGCTATGTTATGTACAGATGTCTCCCTTAAGTTCAGTCACGTCTCCAAATAGTAATTTTTGGTAACTATCCAAATAGTATTTTTTTTGTTTGTTTGTTATGAAACATGGATTATAAGTTTTATACTTTGTTTTCTAAAAGAGATTACCATATTATTTGGTTAGGACCTCATTTGCACTAAAAGTAGTGTGGTTTATTGAAGCCTCTGAAATAATTCTTTCCTGATTGTTCCTCAAATAACTCATTATTTCAACACTTGATGGGAGTTGCTACTCAATTATTATTTTTTTAATATTATATTTGGTGAAAAAAAAAACTTAACAGATTGTTGGGAGAATGTCAGCAAAGCAAAGGAAGGACCTTCTTTTCTTTTGGACATCTGTGAGATATCTACCAGTTGAAGGTTTCCGTGGTTTGGCTTCCCATCTATCCATTTGCAGGTCTGTGCAACCTGACAATCACCTGCCCACATCTCACACATGCTTTTTCGAGTTGTGTTTCCCCCGGTACTCATCTATGGCTGTCATGCAAGATCGCCTTGAAGTCATAACTCAAGAACACATTGGTTTGAGTTTTGGTACTGGTTAAATACATCTGCACTTTGGGTACAAGTGGTTTTGACTGCACTTTGGAATATCGATGCTCAATTTTGTACAAATTATAGGGTAGGCTAGGATTATTTATCTGTTCTCAAAATGATAAAATCAAAAGGCGCTCTATTTCTGTTTCTCAAATCAATTCTGGATGCATTGTCATGATCATCTGCAAACTTTCATATATATGGAGGTCAAGTATCAATGAAACAGGATCAAAGGAAAGAAAAATTGATGATTTTTTGGTGTGGTCATTCTGTTGAATAGCTGTTGGTTAGTCCTGCTTTGACATGTAAGTTTGGACAATAAAGCTCAACGCGCTATTCTTCCTCATAATCTATCAAGAATTAGCATCTTCAAAATTCTATCAGTTTATCATTCTGTGTTTGTGGATTTACTACATCTTTGTTCACCCCAAGAAAAAAAAGGGTTGCTATCTCCTGTTTGAATTTTGTCTTTAGGGAGGAGAAACCTTTATGTGATGCCTCAACAAAAACATTAAGAATATTGACTGCTGCTTAAATGTGGTCTCCCCCCCCAGATCGGA